GTCTCCTCGGGGGTCCAGCAAGGGGGCGGCACGCGCCGGGCCGCGTGGGCGGGGGGAGAAGGCGGGGCCATGGCGTTGATGGCGAGGCGGGGGTGGGGGTGGGGGTGGAGGCGGAGGCGGAGGGGGGTTATAACGGAGGCGGAGTCATGTTTAGGCGGCTACAAGGGGTGGCGGTGGGCGGCGGGCGGTGGGCGGCAGCGGCAGCGGCGGCGGCGCCTACCGCGGCCTGTGGGGTTAACGCCTTGACCATCGGAGGCTGGCGCCCTCCCCTCTCCTCCCCCGTGGCCGTCGGATGCCGCTGGCCGGGCGGATCGGAGGGCTGGAAGGAAAAGCTCGATGCTCGTGGAAATTAATAATAAGGAAAAAAGAAATTGTTAGTATATTGGGCGAGAGGAGTGCGGGCGTGAAGGTGGCGTGTCGTTGGCCGCGCGCGGCGGCATTGCGGTGTGACCTGGTACGGGGGAAGGTGGCGTGCGGGTGCGGCAAGGTGGCGCGCGGCGCGGCTGCCGCGGCGTGCGTGATTGACGTGCCCCCGCGGCGTGATGGCGAAGGAGGCGCCGACGTGCCGCCTGGTGGCTTGACCGGGCCGGGCGAGCGAGGAAGCGCATCGCATGGCCCGCGTGTGATGGATGCGACGAGGCCGGGCGGCGACATCAGGCGGCCGGTCCGGCGTGGACGCGAGACAGAGACGTTTGAGAGTGCGCGGTGCTGCGGCGGGAGGGGTGGTTCACGCCTGCGCTTGCCCAGTTGCGCTGGTCCAGGTCCGGAGGGAGCGCGCGTGGGGCCGAGTTCGGCGTCGTAGTGGCGTGCCTCGGGCGGCAGCCGGCAAGGACGGAGCGCCTCCCTACGCGCGTGTTTCCGGGGGACCGGACCGGCACGGTGCGTCGTGCGGTTTTTTTTTTCTTTTTCGAAATGCTTCGTCGTGCGATTGGTAGCGTGCGAGGCGAGGCCAAACCGCGGATCGCCACGGTGAATCTGGCAAAACAAACGTTAACGCCGGCACGTCCAGATCTTTTCGTTTACACACAGAGAAAATGTTCGTCAATGGGAGCACGTTTCAGCCGGCAGCGAGCGAGGAGGTGAAGCAGGACCTCATCGGCTGGAAAGAAGGCACACCAGGGAGAGGCAACTACCCACGGCGCATGTTCATGTGCTACCGGGACGCGGAGCAGCACCATTCGAAGTCGAAGGGAAAGTTAACATCAGAGCTATGGAGCGGAGCGTTCGCCGGGCAAGCCTGCACAGCGGACCGGAGAGTCTGTTTGATTGCGCCCAGGTCCTCCAACGCGAGTAGCGGCCATGCTACCAGTGTTTCCATTTCTTTCCCGGACTAATCATGAGCTTCATTGGCTCAGAAGGACGACTGCCAACAAACTACCACCGGTGCACAGCCGCACGGCAAGTCTAATAGGTAATCGCTAGTGCTCAGAGATGCTAACAGGCAAGGGCCAAGCACAGCACCGACCACAGACAAATTACCGGCGCTTTCACTTCGACCCGAGACTAACAGTCTGCTCAATTCAGCCCGGCGAGGTGGCAACACCACATCAATCACAGACAGCAACGCACCGATGATTAATAAAAATATGGCAAAATGCATATGAAAACATCAACACATGTCTCAAAAAAAAAATTTAACATTGCATTCTCATTGTGTAGTACAGTGGTAAAAAAGAAAATAGGTAACAATTCACGTACAGGAAGCCTGTGCAACAACTGCAACATTACATCATTCTACGCCCATACTCTCTGGAGAAGAGACTAACAGAAGCAGCAGTGCTTGCGACAATTTTTTGATCAAACTCAGGCAATGTAGAGAAAATACAACATATTGTAGGTTATATTAGTGCAACATTCAACTGAAATACGATATGAGCAGCAGTACTCAGGTTAATATTACCTCCATCCCAAATTAATTGTCTTACATTTATCTAGATACGGACATACCTAACACTAAAACATGTCTAGATACATCCATATTTACACAAATCTAAGACAACTAATTCGGGAAGGAGGGAGTAGTAAAGATGCGGCATGGTAAGTTCAAGCTAAGCTTAGAAGAATACACTACAACACACTGGAGATGCAATGAATATTGCACCATTGCAGCTCAAATTCAAAACTGCAAGTGTGAATATAGTATTCAAATACTCCCTCCGTCCAAAAATGATTGTCCCTCAAATGGATGCATCTAGATACATCCATTTGAAGGATAAGCTTGGGACAAGTTTTTTCAGACAGAGGGAGTACATATTAGTGGAGATTGTACTAACATAACTCATTGCTCAAATTGAAAAAAAAATGCAAGAGTGAGGATTTCGAAGATAGATATTTTGTCAAACATTTGTCATCAACTAATATTTGCGATCTTCAGGAACATATAGACAGTCTTCATGAATGCAAGTTATCGTATGTTTCTACTGAAAACAAGTTGGACCTAACTGCAAGGTTCGATAGCCTCAATTCGATAGTCCATGATGCAAAAGAAACTTAAACTGAGCTTTTACACTTGCAGTTTGAAGAAAATGTTTCTCCCAGATGCAAAACTTGTAAATTAGTAGCCACCTGATCTACCTTTCTTTGTCCTAAAAGTCAGCCGCCCTTGGTTTTGAGCATTAGATCAACCAATCAGTGCTGATTCCATCACACTTCCAATCCCCGTCTCCAGATTCACCGGCACCCTCTCATTTTGCTGAAATGTATAAATTTTCCTTGCACTATTGGTGATCTAATGCCGTTTAAAAGTTCTAATAACATCATTGTTGATTTCACCCAAGGACTCCTACTCCAACAAATATTAAACAGATGATATGATGGCCAACAAATAGCTCAGTTATAACCAATGCTTTGTTTCTGAAGACTGCCAAAGTCTGCCATCTCAATGCAGCATCGGAAGAGACCACATCAAGCCCCTTTCCAAGAGTAGCCAACCAAAAATGCATAACTTTGATCTCCAGATCTAATCATAGTTATCCTTATTGCCGCTTTATGTAGCCTCTATAATTTGTATTTTCAACCATCTCTTTCACCTACCTATTTCTTCGAATTAGCACATGACATCAACAACTCCCAAAAGATTGGATAAGTTTGTTGTTTATAAACTTGTAGACGCAGAACCTCTTAGTGATCACAAACATCATTTATAAATAGATGATGCAAGGAAGGAACTTCAATATCAGAAATTCAGTTCTTCTAAAACCATCCACCCCCGCCCACACCCAACAATCTAATGCAATTGAGGGCCTAAAGGTACTATACATAACCTATATTACGCAACGAGGGCCTAAGTGTATCATATATAATAACCCCTAAGTGTATCATATATAATAACCTATATTAAGTCATAGTGCACTAGAAACTATACTAAAGGAATTAGCAGAACTCAGAAAGACCAGATTCATGCCTCCAGCAAAGTTCTTCAAAACTTGCAACCATCCAACAGATATTTGGCTCAAAGATGTATTGATCCATGCTCCATGCAGAAGTTCAAAGATATTTCATAAACCATGGTGCTCAGTGTTGATAATGCTTGTTAAATTTATCTGGTGCCATGTACTCTATGCTGCTGTTTGACAGCATTGCAAGGCCATCCAGTCATGTAGCTGTGAATTCTGTTATCTTAAAATTGTGGGGAGGCCAAAGAAATTGCTTGGTGAAAGAACTACTTGAGCCATACAAAAGGTTTCTCCCAGAACCTGGCAACCAACAAATCCAATTTTATCTGCAGTGCAGTTTAACAAATAACTAGTCCAAATTTTCAACCTGATCTTTCAGTCTCAGGTAGCAAAGTTCAATCCACTAGAGAACAGATGCAGCGTGGTCTGAACCAAAGGTTTCAGAAGTAACAGCCTTACATGAAGCGCTCACTTCTAAGGCTTCATTCGTAAGTCTGATCTTCTGCTGGGTCATCAAAGGTGGGGTCTCCAAAACACCTTGTGTTGCAGCAAGGAAACGACCTCAAAGATTACTTATTGAAATACTCCATATCTCTCAATGTTATAGAAACACTGGAAGTAAACATGTCAACACACCATGGCTGGCTAGTTCACAACTCTTGACCAACTAAAGCAAAGCCTTACATTAAATAAACATGCCGGAACATCCACAAGACTACTGCTTCAACCAACTCGATGTTCCTGGCTCCTTCAGACATGCCTTATTGATTGCCCACACTTGCCACTTGTCCAGATCCATAGGCCTTAAGTTAAGGAGCTCCGTACAATCCATGGCCTACACCAACCTCCTATGGTGCCACATCTGTTCCACAAAGACGGTCGGATGCCAAATCTGTATCATTAAAATAATTCATGGTTGATCACGGAGGGTGTTCCGTGTTTGATACAAGGGCAAACATTTGCCATCTCCTAAGTGAGCAACTAGCGCAATGATGGGGATGACGGCGACAGATGGTGAACAAAATTCATGTGCAATGCAATTAAACTAAAGGAAACTGAAACTGATTAGAGCTTTCACCTTAGTAGTACGAACTGGAACCACTGCTGCCAAAGTAGCCACTGCTGCTGCCCGTGTTACGACCCGAGTAATGCGATGAATATGAACTTCCACCAACCTGACCAAACAATAACATGTTGATCATAAATTTCCATGAAACAAGGTTGCTTTACACAAATATTTATACATTATGGAAGTGCATTTTATGTTGAATCTAGCAGTATCAATTTGATGATGTTCTTGATGCTGGAGTTTTTCCTTCACAGATGATCAAGCTTACAAATATTTCACTGGAACTGGACCTATATTTGACTTGGAGAGAGCAATACATAGTAAATCCATTAGACATAAAATACTTCAAGACTTACATCAGATCCACGAGGCATGTAGTCTGCACTGTAATTTGAAGAGTAGTTTCCACCAGCATCTCCAGTGCTCGCAGAACCTATGAAGATGAGATGCATTAAAAATGTTAGAAGCATTGGATCAAGAAAGGTATCATGACAAATACTCAAATAGCATAGGCTTCAAGAGTACATACCTCCATAACTCAAGCCATGGCGGCTGCTGCTATACACCGGGTCATGACCAGCGACAGATCTGCTGCTAGTGTATCCCACATGTGACCGCCCGAGCCTTCCAAGGATGGACATTTGTAAGAACATGAGATTAAAATCAAATACCAAGACGTTCTCTAAAACAAACAAAAACCAAGCAAAAGGACTGCATGTTACTAAATATACACCAACCTCTCAGTATAAGCATCTGCATACCGAGCACTGCTACCACCAACATCATAATCTAAGCGTGCCTTGGGCTGACGAACGCTAATGTCGTGATACCGAGGAGGCACGTCATCCTTGCATCATTAACAATAGTCAGGTTGATTGAGGAATAAACTGCAAGTGCATGGAAAAAATGCAACAACAAATTAAACTACCCTCACCATCTCAACATATGAGCGTTTTGAACCAGATATTGTATCATAATCACGTCCACGGCCCTCCCTATAGGTTGGCAAAGGTCGGTCAATCTTCTCTACATAGCCATCATCAGCATATGCTCTCCTGTCAGAAAAACGGGGAGCGCTGCGAGGAGCTAGGTCTGAATAGGCTGATTCACGGGGCGAATAGTCGTCCCTGTAAGTGTGGCGCCTATCAACTGGAACTCTTGCACTGTAATCAGCAGCAAAGGTAGCTCTGCTCCTTGGCGGAGGAGGTTCATCACGCCTTCCATATTCCCTCCTTGGGCTTCTCTTTGGGTAAACAGGAGCTGTACACAGGTTTTGTATGAGAAATTTGATGCGGCTATAGTTGATTGTTCTACAAAAAGAATGGGTACCATCTATACGCACCTGGGGGCCTTCTATCATAGGATCTCTCTGGAGGAGGCAAACGCCTAACTCTATCTGGTATTGACATAACAGGGCGTCTATCTCTAATATCTATTGGCCTCTTCAGTGGAGGCCTCCTGATAGGAGGTAAGCGAGTATCAGGCCGTACAAGACGTGGCAGAGGCCGGCGTGGAGGAGGCCGAGTGTATGGGAAACGGCCGCCTCGAGGAGCACTATGCCCAATCCTGAAATTTCCTCTTAATCCATGCTTCATTCTAGGAGGTCTCTGTACTGGCCTTGACAATCTGGCTCTCACTTTTGCCTGAGTCACAAAATAATAGTCATTATAAAGTATTGCATGATAATTTTATCTATTATACAGTGGACTGAGTAGATGGGAAAATCAGCTAAGAAGGTACAGCAAACTCAGTTGGAAAACAAACCTTGCTGTCACCTTCGCCAAGCTCAGAACTAGTTATCCCATCAACACATGCAACAGCATTATCATGCGTATTAAAAGTAACAAACCCAAAATCTTTTCTTTTGGCCGCGGGCATGTTTCGGGCAAGTTCAACTTTCTCGATAGCTCCATACTTTTTAAGGTACTTCTTAACACGATCTTCTTCCCATGACGGGGGGAGACCATCAAGAAATACAGTTCTGACCTGAACCACAGAACCAAAATGAATTCAGTAACTTTAAACATATTAGTGTCATACAATATTAAACACAACACCAGAAAATAAAAACTAGCAGCTGCCAGAGTGCATGACCAAACAGCATCAAAATACTTTTACGAACATGCCACTTTAAGGGGGCACAAAAAAAAGTGACACTTAAAACTACTCCCTCCGTCCCATAATAAGTGTCTTAACTTTATACTAACTTTAGTACAAAGTTGTACTCCCTCCGTTCCGATTTACTCGTCGTGGTTTTAGTTCAAATTTAAACTAAAACCACGACGAGTAAATCGGAACGGAGGGAGTACTATAGTTGAGACACTTATTTTGGGACGGAGGGAGTACTATAGAAAACAAGTGCTGACCTGTGCCATCATTTCATCATCGACTTCAGGGTAGGAATCGGCAAAGGAAACCTTAGCAGTGCGATCAACTCCAAAGACTACATCCCTCTTCTGCAACCGCCTGAAAGCATCCATAGCTTCAGGGCGAGTAGAAAACTCAAGTAAAGCATACCCACGGTTCATCCCTGGGTTATTGCTATCCTCAACCAATATTAAATCGTCAAAATTCTCGACCTCATAGATCTTCAGTTTCTCCTTCAGCTGTAAATTCCAAAACAAATTATTTCTTACACCGAGAAGCAGAAAAAAGGCATCAAGGGAAAAAAGAGTTTAAGCATCATACATGTTCTTTTGTCCATGTCTTGCAGATATTGCCAACAAAAAGTGTATCATTGTCACGACTAGGAGCAACACCGCATTGCTTACCTCGCACCTACAGAATTTCAGAAACAGTTATGTACTTGCAACAAAAATATACTATAAACATACGTAACATTTTTCTTTTTGTTTAGGAATATATTAAACAAATGTAATCAGTTGTAATAAACCAACCATCGGATTTTTCAGATCTGAAACAGCACGCTTTGCTTGCTCCACAGTCTCATATCGCAGGAAGGCAAAGCCTTTATTCTTCTTCGTAACAGGGTTCATCATCAAACGAACTTCAGTGATATCGCCGACTTCACTGAAAACTTTCCTCAGGTCACTTTCTGTTGCATCTTTATCTAGCCCACCAACAAAAACTTCAAACTCCTTCCTCTTACGATGTGCTTTCACCATTTCATGATGGTCTTCGTCCTCCACGTCCACATCGTGGTCTTCATCTGCATTTTCATATTCCTCACACTCGCCATCATCCCCACCATTATCCAGTTCCTCCTCATCCACCATCTCAGTCTCCTCTTCGACTACATCTTCAGTGTACTCCAACCCTTCATCGCCGTCTTCATATTGCTCCTCATACTGCTCCAAATCCTTCTCGTCGTAGTCGACAGCAGCCTCCTCTTCATATTCTGGCTCATCCTCGAACTCCAGTCGTTCACCTTTGTCCTCTTCTTCATATGTTTCTTTTGCAGCTCCATCATCTAAAAATTACATAGACGTCAAATCCTCACACATTTACAGGAAAAGACAAGAGGTCCCAAGTAAGGAAAAACGGCACGGCGAAGCACAGATCTATACGCGAAAAAAGTCCAACTATGCGCGAAACAGAGGAGCAAACGTGATACCTTCAGCGTGGCTTGCGCCGTTCTCAGCGGCATCCGCCTTGGCCTTCTCCTCGGCGGCCGGCTGCTGTGGTGGCGGCGACGGCTGTGGCTTCTGCTCCTCCACCTTAGGGGGAGCCTCCTCCGCTGCCTTGACCACCTCGACGGGCGCCTCCTCCGCGACCGGCTGGGGCTTCGCCGGTCTGGCCTTCGTAGCCGACCCCTTCCTCGCCGCCGCGGCGCCGCCCCTCTTAACCGACTTGGGCGGCATCTCTCTCAGGCCGCCGCACCAAAACCAATAGCACCGGCTGCAAACCACAAGAAGAAGAGACAGAATTAGCGGAAGCAGGCGTCGAATCGGCGGAACGGAGACCATGGGCGAGCGGTGCGTACCTCGTGCCCTCCCGGAAGATCGAGTTTGCGGAGACCGAAACCCTAGCGACGGAGACGAAAGCGCTGCGCTTTCGTTAGGTTTGCGGCGAGACAAGACGGACGGTGCGTGGCCTCAGCCTGGCGTTGCCTTCGTTGGTTAGCCTCCCCGCTCCCGGGTCGAGTCGTATTCTCCGCAATCTGGAGACGCTCCTGGAGTTGTTGGGTGTAATTACGGATTGACCACCGGGGCCTCGCGTGCTCCCGTTGACCGCTTCCTACGCAATAACGGGGCGCTTGGTCTTTTCGGGTGGTAATCCTTTTATTTGCGACGTTGTATAAGTGTTTTTTTGGGGGGCGAAACTGTGACGTCATGGGTCGGTGCCCGGGGATGTCCTTCCCGCGTCAGCCTTCTCGATGCACAACGAGTCTGACAGTAGATAGATTCAGCTAGACTTCAAGTGTTACTTATTCTCACCAGGGCCGTCCAGAGGCCTGTGCGAGAGGTGCGACCGCACAGGGCCCCCATATCCCAGGGGCCCCCAATTTTGGGCCGACGTTGTATATTTTTTGTTAGCCTATGTAATTTCTCTGCACTGTTTTGGGCCTGTGGCCTGGTCTGACCGCTCGAGCGCTCCCTCCCAATCGCGATTGATCGCATGCCCTGAAGCCTCTTCCTAACTCCCTCAGCTCTCTCTGCCCGATGACTCGATCTAATCTGCTTGTCGAGGCACGACGGCGAGAAGCAGGATGGCAAGGGCATGCAGCAGAATTCGCCCCAAAAATTCAAATATAAACCAGCGCGAGCAAGGGCTAACGCCACCAAGAAAAGCAGAAGGCAGCCGCTGCTAGCCGGCGGTCAAACACCCGAGCCTAGGCCAGATCAATTTGCAGATTAATCAGGTGCGCCCAAGACCAAGCAGATTTAATTTGGTTATTTTTCTATTCAGTTATTTAATGGCTAATGAGTACATTGTATAGGTGGATCAGTTCTTAAGTTAATTAGCTAATAAATTGCTATATGTTTATTGTTCAACCGATGTAATCTTTATAGAAGATAGTTGGTGTATTAGATATATTTCATAATCTTGTACGAAATCCATCTATTTAAGTTAATAGGACTTAAATGAGAGTATCCTTTAGTCATATTAATATTTTTAGTTACAAGAGTTTTCCATATTTTAAGGCATCATTTGCATTTCGCACCGGGCCCTCGAATTCCTGGAGACGGCCCTGATTCTCACGCAATCTTCAAAGTAAATACAATACATATACATTCTCAGAAATTAAGAATTGGCAAAAGAAGTGTTGTCTGCATCCCAAAGGATCTCCATTTCTCAAGCTCTCGCTCCCCCTCTCGCAGCCACGGTGACCTCACGCCTCCCGCTCGCCATTACCAAATCCACCGCAGTTCTCGCCGCTCCAACCTCGCATGCCTCCTCGTCGGCGAGGACCGCGGGCGCCAAGCGCAGCCGCATCCCCTCCGCCCCACCCCCCCTCGATTGCCCCGCCACATCTATGAAACCTTCCTGGAGATGGTGAGATTGATCTCACCAGTTCCGCAAGGGGTACTCATGGTGACTGGGGCCCGGGGTTGGGTGGAGCGGGCGACCAAGATCCGTGACGCCACGGCGTGGATCCGGCGCGTCCAGGAATGGAAAGCGGCGGATCAGGTGGTGGCGGCGGCGATAGACCCGAGCGCGAGATCCGTGGCGCTGAAGTATGCAGAGATTTGTCAAAGGAGGGCGAATTTGGAGCAGAGGATTTTGGCGAGGCTGATCTACGACAAGGCCACGGTGGAGGAAAGGACAAGGATGCCTGCCTTCCCCCACTCCCTGCCAGCCGCGTTTGTGTTGTATGTTGGATTCTACGGTAGGGTGCGTCGACTGCAAATTAAAATTTTCCTACGCGCAGAACAATCAGGAACATGCTACGGGAGATGGATCACAGATCGTTACCACTAGACGCACAGTGTCGTGCAGCGGAAGTAGAGTTGAGGCAGCGCGTTCCGGAGTCGTCTCCTCCTTGCCGGTCTCCCACGTAGCCGATTGGATCCCGCGAACAGGTTCGCCGGAGCGGCGCAAGTGCACCGCCTCTAACGGTATCCGTGCGTGCAGGAGGAACGTCGTGCGGCGGACTGCTAGGTCCGATCACACAACCGGCGGCTAGTGGAGGTGGCTATTCGCAACACATGCAAACCCTAGTGACAGCGCCGAAGCGATCAACCCCATGAGTGTGCCGCACCTCCACTTTATATAGACGTCCGTCGCGGGCTCAACACTTGGGCCTCACACGAACCCTAAAGCCCACAAGTCTACTCGGTTACAATCCGAATACAGCTCGGATCGCATCCGACCAGTGTCCTCGGATCCGACCTCGTAGGTTCCTTCCCTTAAGCACGCGACCCCTTAGGTTCAAGTCGGCTTGGTCACAGTTCGGATCACCTCTGTACTGCACGGTTGGTAGAGGCCTCTAGCAAGGCATGCCAAATACCAAGCAGACTATAAAGCTGGTTAGGCGAACCTGTACGACATGTTGCACTTATGTTCCCTTTGCCACACGATATATGTTGTCGAGCTCAAGGCGAGATTGTCATCCTTGTGCTAGCCCGGCCTCTTTCTTGTTCCAGTGATGCCGACCACTATCCGGATTATCTCATAATCCTTGTCGCATGGCCATGTTTATCCTGGTCGGATCACACGAGGGGCCCAGAGTATATCTCTCCTAATCGGAAGGACAAATCCCATCTTGCTCGACCATGTCTCGCAGCATGGGTCTGGACAAGCCTGAAACCTACCTTTGTAACTACCCAGTTACAGAGTAGCGTTTAGTCGGCCCAAAGCAAGTCTGTCACCATCCCAAGTACATGCGTCAGCTCAGGTCTTAGGACATAGAACATATGTTGTACTAGAGACTCACAGATGACATATCGTTGTGTCTCATAGTTGGGTCTGTCTGACTCGGATCTTATCTCAACTCGGATTCGACTACATCGAATCTGACCAGATCCTTCTGAGTCCATATTATCCGGTTAGCATCCAATGCTCCATGGCTAGTGAGACCGAGCCATCCACTGTGTCATATGCTAGTCTAGTCCGACGTGTGCCCACACGTCACTTGCGACTAGGGACAATTTAGGATGTATCATACAACAGAAGATCTCACAGACAAGTCACGTGCTTGCCAACAAGTATCATTGATTACATCCAAGGACTATCTTTATTCATAAACACATAGGAAATATCATCATACATGATTGCCTCTAGGGCATATCTCCAACACTGTGGGCGAGGGCGGAGGCGAAGTCAGAGGATCCATGGAGGGCGTGGCGGTGGGAGTGCATACTGGGGGTGATGTCGTCGGGTGCACCACTGAAGTGCTCGTCCTCGCCGCTGGTGGCCAGTCGAGATTGAGCACGTCTCCCCAAGTGGAGATGAGGGCTCTGGAGGAGGAGATGCGGATTCCTGCTGCTACTTGCCACACCATACAATCCACACCTCCCGGCTCTCCGATTCAGGTCCTGCGTAAGCGCGGGATTCGGCGGGCGGCGTCGTTGCCGGCGTTGGTGACTTCTTCTCCGGCGAGAAAGGTCAATGGGGGTGCACTGTTACTGCACGGAGGGCCCTGCTTGTCAGGTGTGATCTGGAAGTGAGGCCCGAGCTAGGGACACTTGGTGACCGCTGGTTGGCTGGCACTCAGTAGGGGGAGACGCCCAGGCAGAAGGCATTTTCTGCAGGATTTATAAAGAGAGAGCAAGCCCCCGCTAGTTCCCCAAGCTAGGGTTCATCATCACCGTTGCCGCGGGGCTCCTCCTGACTCGCTAGTGTGGGTCAGGAAAGATCTGTTTGAGCGTGGAGAGTTTTCTGCCAAGTATTGCCACCCTGTTGGAGCAGTTGATCATCTTCCCCCACCGAAACAATTCAGTTACTCCAGGGATTGTTGGGCTAGAGAGCACGGGAGAATTCCTTTTGCTGTTGTTGTCAAAGGGATGGCTGGAGCTGGAAGAGCGGGCTCTCGAGGAGAAGGGAGATATGCAGCAGGGAGGGGGAGGAACAAGACAGGGCATGGTGGGACTGCAAACCCCAAACCATCAAGAGGAGGGGAGATGCAGCACCAGACTGCTCGACCTCCTGCGACCCAGATGCCTCCCATCTCTATCTACTCCAGGTCGCCGATTGTTCCTCTGGATCAACTGTTGGAAATATGCCCTAGAGGCAATAATAAAAGCATTATTATTATATTTCCTTGTTCATGATAATTGTCTTTTATTCATGCTATAATTGTATTATCCGAAAATCGTAATACACGTGTGAATACATAGACCAAAATACGTCCCTAGTAAGCCTCTAGTTGACTAGCTCGTTGGTCAACAGATAGTCATGGTTTCCTGACTATGGACATAAGATGTCATTGACAACGGGATCACGTCATTAGGAGAATGACGTGATGGACAAGACCCAATCCTAAGCATAGCACAAGATCGTGTAGTTCGTTTTGCTAGAGCTTTTCCAATGTCAAGTATCTCTTCCTTAGACCATGAGATCGTGTAACTCCCGGATACCGTAGGAGTGCTTTGGGTGTACCAAACGTCACAACATAACTGGGTGACTATAAAGGTGCACTACAGGTATCTCCGAAAGTGTCTGTTGGGTTGACACAGATCGAGACTGGGATTTGTCACTCCGTATGACGGAGAGGTATCACTGGGCCCACTCGGTAGTGCATCATCATAATGAGCTCAAAGTGACCAAGTGTTTGATCATGGGATCATGCATTACGGTACGAGTAAAGTGACTTGCCGGTAACGAGACTGAATGAGGTATTGGGATACCGACGATCGAGTCTCGGGCAAGTAACATACCGATTGACAAAGGGAATTGCATACGGGGTTGATTGAATCCT